CATCACTGAAACAATAAATCAGCGTAATTCACCGAACAACTGAGTGAATGAGGTATGAAAATAACCTGAAATCAGTTTGTGTTTGCTGAACAAGTGATGATAGGAGAGCATAAAATGAGACGTATCGTTGATAATCAGTCGTCTGTTTGAACTGTTCCAATTGTGAAATCATTTTGCTGAATACCGAATCTGCCGTTGCGCGAATTTCATTTTCGGTTTCATCAACAAACTTACGAGTGAACAATAGTGGGTCTACGGTACACACCACTGGACTGAATGTCACGTGATATGGACGTACCTTAATTAGATATAACAACTTGATTTATGCAATTCTCATTAAGTTAACAAAACTGGAATTAACTTAAAATATGACCAACCGGATGCACTTTAAAACATGCAAAACAATTGTTGAATGCGAAATAGTGATCGTGTTGATGGAACAGACAATGATTGCACTCCTTCAAATAAACCATACATCCATAATTGATGTATTACACTCGAAACTATTCAAGATACTGCAGATGAGAAATGAGAATGAGAACAAACTCTATTAAACGACGAAATACTGCAACTGGCGCACATTCCATTGGCCAGGTAATCAAGATACTTAGCAAAGCTAATATTCACTACTGCATCATTCAACTGCACTATGCTCGATGACGCTTTACAACTGAAATTCAACGATGTGATATCGATCTGAACTGAAGCACAGAAGACAAACGAAACGATAATTGATCTCAGATCAAAGAATGGCATTTACTGATGATGTTATTAATCACCAATTATGCGACAGAATCAGTGCCATTTTCCACACCTAAACGATACAATTCCATTCCGGAATTAACTGATCCGTTTACTCAACTCAGTGAAATCATTCGAAATAAGCGAAATCAAATCAGTGAAATGCACAAACATTGGACAATAGAGCCAAGAGAGAAGTTGCGAAGCTTGTTCGGCAATAGACTGCGATATTGCATTGATGTCATCGATTGGCTGTATGTAATTTTGTGTGGTTATTTCGATACAAACGTTACGATAAACCATTTTACGCGAATGATCCAACATCGAAACATCACAGTTTGTCGACGGACACTGATAGTCTTTATTGAAGCAGAATCTAAATTCAATATTATAGAAAAGGCTATAATAATCACTGTCTCGAGAAATCAGGTTGAATAAAAGAAATCAGTGGTGTACAATAAGATGAAGAGATACTTTTTAAGGAAGTCTCCAAGGCACATATCATTATAGCCGTAATGTTCCATTTGCACAACCCACGGTCGAACGCAAAAGAATGGTGCATTTGGTGATTTTGCAGAGAACGAGCCAAACAAAACCGCGATTCGCTGGTGAATGAACGGATCGAGCACATCGTCTTGATGCTTACTTTCAATCGTCTTACTACTTTTCCAACTGAATCCAACATAATTTGAAGGTATCAAGCAAAATCAATCGCAACCAAGAAGATCACTTACATAGAAGAGCATGAATGAACTCGTCTTCTGAAAATGATTCCGGACTCAGCTCTGAACAAAGCAACTTCATCGTCATTCACCTCTCTTAATTCACGATTACAAACAAACTCATGCTGATTGTGCCATAATCCATCACTCCTATCTTCTTCGTATTCTTCCTCATCATTCCT